CCAATAAATAGATGGCTATGAATGTAGGATATATTACCAACTAATTTTCTAAGCAGTTTTTAAGGCCAACTCTCTGTTGGTGGAGTTGATCTTTGGAGGAGGGTTCAGAAGATGCGGCAGGCCTTGGGGTTATCATTAAGACGAAGCATCTCTTTTTGGAGATGTGATCAAGTGTCTGTTAATACATTCCCAGACACATCATCTGACTTCATCAGCTTTTAAGCTCCAGAAAGATCTCTCATCTCCAATCTGTTAGAGTTTTTCTTCCTAGTATGGACTCAAATCAGGATGACCTAGATGGACACTGTCCTCATTGTCCACAGAGCTGTCATAGAGACATGAACAGTGTGGACTCTCTCCACATCTAAAGAGATTTTCTTTCAAGAACAGGCCTGGAGACTTTGAACTTTGGTAGCATCCAGATAGGCAGTGGGAAGCCACCTGTCGAGGTGAGCATATGGGAGACATCTGACCAGAGAGGCCACCCGCAAAGTCCTGGGATCAGCTGAGTTCAGGTTCCAAGAAGCAACTACCCGTAGTCTACCTTTCAGTCCATCTGCATCTGTCTTTCTGCCACCTGTCATTTCTTTGGACAGGTTCTGCCACAGTCTGAAATCTTTCTATATTCCTCTTGCGCTAAAAGTAACACTCCCTGTGTAAATGGGCAAAGGCAAAGACAGAATGGGCCACTTGCCAGCTACCACTGCCCTGGCTCAGGTTCTTGTTAAAATCACTTAATGGTCTCTGCAGACGCTCCTGCCTCAGATCCATCTGCTCTGTCTTCTAAGATACTATTTCCATCACTATTATGGCTTGAAAACCCTTCAGCAGCCAAACAGGGGCCGAACCCTTTAGCCTGGCATTAAAGAGTCTACGGTACCTAGAGCCAGCCACTCCTGCAAGCTGCACTCTGCACCATCAGATCGCTGGTTCTCCTGGTACACTCTGCCGTCCCCCACAGCACTTGCCTTCCTTTTATCTCTTGATAATGCTTTAGAGATATCCAAAGTCACAGAATTCAGAGGGTAGAAAAAGCATTTTTAGATGAGGCAGGGGGTTCCCGGAAGACAGAGTACAGCCTCTATTTTAATTGGACCTTTCAGGATGTTACTAGAGGAACTGTATAACCTCTGTATATAAACGAGGAAGCTAAAACTTGAAATACATTCATTTGGAAATTATTTTCTACCCCTGCTTTGAAAAGGGAGAATAATTCTTGAATAAAAAATACAAAGGCATTTTATTTGGGGTTATGTATTTATAATCATGGAGAGAGACAGTAGACCATGGTAGTTAAGAGAAAGACTTTGGAGCATAATCATTCCGGTTATAGAAATTTTAATCTGCATTCTCATTTTATTAAATAAAATTTTCTATCATATGAATAAAGCTAGGTAATCCACACACTAAGCTGTTTATCTCTACCTCTTTTCATGTACACTCTTAAATCTGTTTCAATATAGGCATCTACAAATTTGCACATTCTGGTCCCTTGTTAGTGGACTGAAATTGACTAATTTACATGTTATCATCATTTTCTTTTGAGATTTTGCTTATTGCCGAGCTGCGTGTGAAGCTGGAAGAGGCTAGGAGTGGAGTCTATGACAAAAGAAACCCATGAATCTGCTTCACCAAGATTAATGACTAATTCGTTTTATCTTCTATAGAAATTATTGGTAGTTTTCACTGACTATAATATCACATAGAATTAATGGGATCAACTCTACGGTCTTTAAACATGACCTGACTATTACATAACCAGCTGGAAGACTTGCTTAAATTCAGTTAATCTCCCCAGTTTTGCTGCTTCTTAGTTTGAGCTGAATGAGCAAGGCTACTTCATTTTCCCGAAGAGTAATGGAATTCGTTGCTTCGAGTCTCACTTGACATTTTATTTGGGGTTATGTATTTATTATCATTGAGCGAGACAGTATATACCATGGTGGTTAAGAGCAAGACCTTGGAGCCAGATTGCTTAGGCTCTGGTAAGACCCTTTCTGTGCCATTTGAGTTAATGTAGTTGACCTCTGTTTCAGTTTTACCATCCACAAAAGGTGATCTGACCTGAGGATGGGACTTATGGATTGGCCCTTCCTTGTGGCTCACTAAGGGGTGACATGGAAAGATCACTGGACATGGGCAGTGTCAGTCCAGCTTCTTTGTCCTGTGAATGGCCTCTATCTAGTTACAGGTACCTAAGAGATATGAAATACTCAATGACAATCTGAATCGGTCAAATTAACTGAAAAAAATGTCCGAATCGACTTGCGTTTCGTGTTAAAGACAGATGGCTCCAGGAAGGACAGGAGCAGGTGATGGTTGGCACATGAACTCTGCAGTGCCTAGCTCCTCCTCCCGTTCTGCCTTGTTTACTGTGTGATCTCAGAGTCAGGAATCTCGGAGGCCACAGGGTTCTACTCTTCCTTTCCCACACCAGAAAGCTGAGGTTCATTATGTTTAAAAGACATCTGTAATCACATGGACCTGGCTTGCTTTGAGTTTAAAGAGTAAAATCTTAACAGGATGATAACTTGATATTTCACACTCATTAACAATCTCAGTTTCCTATTCTTAGGTGCTAAGAGAATGTCTAAGCTCTTTTTGTAGGTGTTTTGCTCTTTGAAACTTGTTGAAAAATACATAAAGAATATCATATCTGAGAATTTATGTTTACAATGATATATTTTTCTGTGGTTTTCATGTGTAAGCAGAGCCTCATCAAGAATTGCTAAAGATGGGGGGACACACGCCTGTAATCACAGCTACTTGGGAGGCTGAGGCAGGAGGATCACAGGTTTGAGGCCACCCTGGGCAATTTAGCGAGACCCTGTCTCAAAAGTAAAATTAAAAAAGAAGGGCTGTGGAGGTAGCTCAGAGGTAGAGCAATTGCCTGGCATGTGAAAGGCCCAGGGTTTAATCCCTAGTGTGTTTGCACACACACACATGCACACACACAAAATTTGTAAAGGATTTCACTTAATCATTTAAATAAAATTGAATAGCAACTATCACATCTGACAAACTGCAAAACCAAGAATCTAGTATTCTTGAAGCTAGTGAGTATTCCTTTAATTATGATTCTTTGATTAAATTGGAAGTAAACTTATTAGTTCCTCTACCAATCACACCTTGCTTTAAAACAATACATTTTAGCTTCTAATAGTCCACAGGCTTCCCACCCCATCTCATTACACATATACAAATCTACACATGTCTCAATCTCTTTATGTCTTTTTTTCCATAAAACAAGGCAAACATATCATCAGACTACAAATCATATATGCGACACATGGCCATATATTTATAATATATAATTTATCCTGAAACTCCAAAGTATTTCCTTATGTTAGCCTCTTTTCCTAGAAAAGATCTTTAAGAGTCAGAAATAGTCAACTTGCCATAAAAGTCAAAATTTTCCGATAGCAAACACTACTTCAGTATTGTACTTCAAACCTGTTTCCTTAGGATGGTACTGTGTAATACAAATTGGGTCCAAAAGGAGGCAAGATGTAGCTTTAAAAGAAGCAGGTGTCCAGCTTCCCTAAAAAGGGCCCATGAAAAGACCTGCTTGACCCTAACAATGGATGGGTGCCAGGGTCTCCCCTACTTCTCCCATCCCCTGACTTTTAAAAAAGAAATCTTCCCAACTAAGGAAACGGATTTGCTGCTCTTTGTTCTACTGGTTTGGAAGCGGAGCTGGCCTTCCTCAAGGGACAGCTGGAATTCTGAGGTGCAAGTGGCGAGCTGAAGGACTGTCACAAGGTTTGTACCTGCCCCTGTGCGCCCCCTAGGACTCCCTTGCTCCTCCATCTCTCCTGCTTGACTGCAATGTGAGGGCACCGTGGGACTGCCACAGGCTTTGACTTTCATTCCTACCTCCCACCTCTCTTTTTAGGACGAAACCCAGAGCACTGGGATTCCAGATCCTCTCGGGCATGAGTCAGCCCTTCCAGCCTGCAGGACGCAGCCTGGATGGGCCCTTTGTGCCCTGGCGGTGGCTCTCAGGGCTCCACTTACCATTGCTCCTATTAGCCTGGCCCTCCCCTCCTGCTTACTCCTCGTATGTCCTTTTCCATCCTTAATAGCACAGTTGATTTTATTTTAAAAAAACAAAACAAAACAAAACAAAACACAAAACCAAACAAAAAACCAAAATTGTTCTTCAATGAAGGGAGGGCATGCGCAATAAAGTGTTTTTCTAGGCAGGGTGAGAGTTTATGCCGGGTCATGTCACACTGTCTCCTGGTGACCAGGAGCCCATGTGTGGTAGGGTCAGGGTCGGAGATACAGCCAGCTGGGGACCACAGAACGTGGTCGGCTGGGTCTCCCTGGGAAATATCACATCCGTGGTCCTGCTGGCACATGCACTCAAACCAACAGAGTTAAACTCTCCTAATCAGTTATATCCAGCCTTTGTGAACCAGTGGCAGGTGCTCTTCTTCCAATAGGGTGTGGCTCTTACTCCAGGATCCAAATGGATTGTCAAGTGGGGAGGAGTGAGTTTCCAGACCGGTGACCAAGGTCAGACGTTGATAAGAATTATTCAGACCTCAAATTTAACATTCATGATAAAGGGAGACTTTTCTAAGACAGAATTTTTTTTCCTCCACCCCAGATGGTAGGGTCTGAACAAATCAAATCAAAATAGAGCCATTTTTGAAGCACCCATGGGTGTGCGTCTACCGTTTTTGTGTGGCAATTCACAAACCACTGGATAATGAATGCTGTACTAAAAGGAATTTAAGCCTGTCAGGTTAATTACACAATATTAGGTACGAAAACAAACAGTGCAACACAAAACATAGCTACATCATTATTGGCAGTAAATGTTAACTCTAAATAAGTGCAACCTGTCCGTCAATGCTTGCTATAAACTAATTAAAAAATAAAATTTGATGGATAAACATGAAAAAAAAATTCTCACCGAGAATTTTTTTTTTAAATATCAGCACTCATTTAGAGTTCGGGATTTGTGAAAGAAAGCTTTAAAAGGAGCAAACCTGATTGGCTGTGGCTGTTGCTGCGAAGGGGACACTTGTTGCAGGAGTTGTTGCTGCAGAGACAGTGGCGGACGTAGCGCTGTGCATCATGGGTACTTTCAGGAGGGGAACCATGGGAGCAATGAACAGGAGGGTGTAGCATTATGGTAATAGAAGTGGTTTTGGCATGGTGAATATCAGAGCAGCAAGCCATCATGGGTTAAACCAGCAGATGGCATGCAATCACAATGCAAAGCAAGGAAGCATGGGAGAGAAATAAAAAAGGGAAAATAGCTTATTACAAGTACAATTAAAGGAAGTTTTAAAACATAATCAGTGATTCCCAGAAAGGCCAAAGCTGATTACTTTGGTTGATGTATTTATAAACATTTGATTTCTAACAATAGATTCATTCCCAGTTCATACTATAGAGTGGAAGTGATTTAATGGCTGTTTCTAAATATTCGAGAGGTAATACCCAATGAGGTAAGAATGTATGATTATCAAACACAGAATCATCACAAATCCTGTAACATCGAAGGCTCAATATTCAGACTTAGTTTTGGATAAGGGTATTCTTTGGAGTTAATTAATTTTTTTTTTCCATTTGGCATTGCCCATGTAAACTGGATTGTGGATTGTATACTATTTTGATCAATAAATGGCAGAGACAAAGTCATGGCCTTGATATAAATTCTTAGTTATACATTCACAGTTACGCTGAAAGAGCCAAATTTTGCCGATGTTTGTTTTTCTGGTCTGTGAGTGGAAATAATCCGCCTGTCCTCAAGACAGACTTTTGTACCAAGGCATTCAAAGGTGTGAAGGGAGCTATCTACTTTTAAAATTTAACATCTAAGGGAATGTGGAGGTACAGAATATCATCACAAGTCAATTAACACAAAAGATCATCAAGCAGGCAGTTTAGGTATTTGATTTCAAAATACATCCATGAATAATTTTTTAAAAAATAAATTCTTCTGGGAAACTCTGATAACTCTAACACACAGCAAAGAGGAGATAAAGGCACACCACTATGAACTTTAAAACATTGATGAAATTAGCCTGCCTCTCTGTTTTTCTTATGCTATACCAGATAAACTATAAAGAGAAACAAAACACAAATCATTAAAAAAGCACACTCGTACTTGTGGTTTTAGGCCTTTGGAGTGATTGGTTCTAACACAAGAGGTCACATTTAAATCATTATTTTCTTAAATAATACATCTTTAAAAAACGTCTACATTAACTCTAAAGCCAAATAAGCCTTCAGATTTACTATTTCCTAAGCATTTCTACCATCTCTGACATAAATTTCAAGCAAGTGAAGGTACTGTACATCATATAAAAGACAAATAAAAAAGGTTGAAACCTACCAATACTGGTAGCGGGTGTCATGCACAAAACTGACCCTGATGTCATGCAATGGTGGGTGGAAAAAGTGGATAAAGGGAAAGAAACAGGTTAGCGGTTTAGAGTTAACATTCAAAGTGAGATCGAAGCACAACCAGAAATAAGTAGGGTTAGTCAACACAGTTTTTTTAGGGCCGTTCACATTGTCAGCACAGACACAAATATATCTGACTTCTTTTAAGCCAATAATATTCCAAGCTTACTCTCAGACTACTTTTCACACTTTCTATTCATACACGTTGACAGGATTCTAGTAAGAATGACATGTGATAATGCTCCAAGTATTTTACAGACATTATCAAGTTCATCCTCCAAGTTAGGAAGTGGGTATTTTACAGATGAAAAAATCTGAGGCACAGTAACCCCTCCAAGGTCATTGTGTGAGTCAAGGGCAAGGTTAGAAATAGAACTCTATTCCTGAATCCAGGCCAGGCTTGATAGTCACGAGATTACACTGCACTGATTGCATTAGAAGTTTGTTTGTTTGATTATAGCATGTTTTGTGTCAACAATGATATGAAACTAAGAATAGTAATTAAGATTTCCTATCCTCTAAATCAAAGGCTTGCAAGGCAGAGGATTTTAGATTACTGCTTAAAAGCCAGAAACACAGGAAGACTGAGGCTCCCTCATGGAATGGTCTACATGTATATACGATCTCCCTTTTGCTATGAGGTCCACTGTGAGAAAAGATTGGCACCTGGCAATGACATCCAAATAGTGTATGGACAGAGGAGTTCAGAATTGGGGCTGATTTAGGATCCAGGCTAGGGATTTTTGTCATGGTGCTATGAGGTGATCCCTGAGGGAGGCCTTTGGTAAGACTGCTAGGAAGTCTCAGGTTGGTGTCTAGGTGGGGAGATGGGAGGAAGGGATTAGGAATAGTTGGCTTGCCTGTGGGTCTTATGGATGCATGTGATAGAAAACACTGATGGGATAGTGTGGCTTGCTGTGGAGGGCTGTAAAAGAGAGCTCTGAGGAACTATCTGCTACAAGTTCAGTTCCTTGGAATGAAAATCAAGGTAGGATATGGATTTGATAACTGAAGATTGGGCGTAGGTGTCAGAGAAGCAGCTTTTAATGAACACAAGTGTACCTACTAAAGGTTTCAGAAGTGCCTTCTGAGATATTAGCTGAAGACCATCGGATCTGCACATCCTTCTTCCCTCTGCTGAGCACGTCACACACCCATGGGGGACTTCTTGCCTGACTGGTCCACATTTTGATCAGGCTAACATGACCTCATCAGGAAAAGGGGCGATTTAATTGGGCTGTTACTGGTTTCTCCAACAATAAATGCACGTGCCAGGGCATCCAGTGTGAAACACACGCTCTCTCTCTCTCTCTCTCTCACATACACACACACACACACACACACAGTCCCTTCCATGGCACCCTCTCTTCCTCTAGCTCTCCTCTCTACACTTCACAAACTTCTAGAAAGTCACCTACATGTCAATGTTCACTTTTTTGCTCCCATTTATCTTCAGTCCTCTCCAATCTGGTTTCCACTGTCTCCGCTCCACTCCAACCACAGGTGTCGGTCATCAAACTCCATGTTGCTGCAGTGGCAACTCCTAAACTTCGCCTACTGTCCTGAGTCTCAGCAGCATTTAGCACTTGGCCACTCCATGATGAACCACTGTCCTGTCTTAGAAGTTTGTTTTTTTTTTAAAAAAAAATCACACACACACTTTTTGTTTTTCTTTCTGGCAACTCCCTTTGGTCCACTTGTTCCAATCTTTTCCTTCCCTGAACTCGCCATCTCCACATGCTGGGGTTTCTCAGACTCAGTGCTGGGTCCTCTTCCCCTGCTCTGTAGGTTTTCCTGGTGTGTCACTCAAGACATGGAATGAAGGAGAACTGACGAGCTCACGGCTCCCACACGGTGTGGAATCTCTGCTCTGAGCCCAGGTCCCTTTATCTCATTGCTTGCCTGATTCCAGTGCCTTCCGTCTCACAAGTATCTCCAATTTAACATGCTCAAACTCTGCCCTTTCCCACGGTCTGTGTCTCTCAAGAAAAACTCGAGGACACCACCAGTTCAGCCCCTGTTGAAAGTTGCCACTTTCCCTCACGACATGGCCAGGTCCAACTCACCAGCAGGCCAACGCAATCCTGCTCTGCAAGGTTGCTCTCACTGGCCTGCTGCCCATCCCTACTGCTGCTTCTCACGCCTTGGTCACCATTGCCTCTGATCCCAGCCGTGAGACCATGTCCTGGCTGGCCTTGTTGCTCCCCAGGAGGTCCACTCTCCCCTCTGGAAGACACATCTCCCCAGCAGGTCTACTCATCCCCTGCTGGAAGGGTTCGATGGCTGCCAGCACTTTCAGGATGAGGACCGCGTGTGGTCCAGGCTCTGACCACCTCCCCAGGTCATCTTCCACCGGGATACAGCAGCAGCCTTTCAGTGCTTTGAACTGAACACATCACACATCTGTCCTATTTTTGAGCTGCCCACAGGCTGTCCTCTCTGTCTGGCAACATCTTTACTCTCTTTATCCTCCAGGTCTCAAGCTATGCCAGGTCTCCAGAAAACTGCTCAGCTGTTCTTTGACTTATCTCTCTATGCCATCTAGATCAGCTTTCTATTTTAATCTCATTGAATTCTTTGCTTCTTCATTCAGAGCATTCAAAAGAATTTTGATGATGAATAGACATGGGTGCCTGTTAAGCATCCATCTCTTCTGTAACTCGGGAGAGCAGAGGCGGATGTGCCTAGCGTATGGGACACATAGATCAATTCTCAAATGTGCTAGATGAAGGTTCTCAGCCATCAGTAAGAGGTGTGCTAGGAACACATGGCTCCTAAAACTTATTGAAGCACCTATTGTGTAAATAATTTCATTTTAAATTCAACCATGGCTGGATTCAAAGTTATCCCTATACAAATTTCCCCTCACTCTCTTAAGATTCAGTGTGAACAGGGTTTCTTGAAGGGCTGTCCTGTGTCATGCATGTGAATGTCATCTGGGTTGTCAGCAATCAACAGCAGACCTATGGTCACACTGGCTTTGGTCCTGAATGAGGTGACATGTTCAACCAAATTAATTTGATAAGCCTCTCTCTCTCCCTTGGCCTGAGTGATGTGAATATTGGAAATGCATGGCTTTGGACATATGGTGGCTCTCTTACTCAATGCCAGACTCTGGTCCTGCCTTCTCTACCATCCCCACAGACCCCGTGGGTTCTTATGGACAATGTCCTTGTCTTCAAATATGCTCTTCCCATTTACCTGGGATGCTTCCCTCTCAAGTAGCTGTGCTCAATCTCCCAGCTCCTCCTCCTCCTGCTTTACATTTGAGTCTCACCTAGTTCTGAACTCCTTTGCTTTCTCATTACAGCTCTCGAACCCAGAACACATCACACATTCAAGAAGCATTTGCTGCACTGTCTGGACAAATACATTTTGCTGTGTTGATGCTGGTGTAGTTTCTACTGAACACTGTTGAATCTCTCATTAAGTCGTGTGATAACCTTATCTTATGCAACACTTATGATTTCTCATCATTAGAAAATGTTTAGGCTAAAACTTTCTCCATGTGACTTATTTTGTGCTTCCAAAGCAATGAAATAAATCAAAGAAGGATTCTGAGGGTCGCCTTTGTTCTGTCCAATTGAGGCTTTTCACTAGGGCACTCATTTTATGAGCAAAGCCTTCTTCTCGTTTCTGCTTCAGTTGCACAAATATTTCAGCTCTAGTGTCTGTGAGCAAGAACTATCTGGATAAATCCATTAATTTTATATATCGCCTTGCAGTGTACACACAGCCTCAGTTTTTCCATCTGCAAAATGCAAATAACTATGCTCGCTAGTAATAGAATGGCAACATCTTGAAGAATAATGAGATAATGTCTATAAGAACACTTACAGTAACTCAGAATAAACCTGTCAGAGAAATGCCAAGAATTATTATGCTGCTATTTTTGTAATTCTGTGTGGTTTTGCCACTTTCCTAACATAGCAAAGAAAAATGTATAACTGCTTGGTTAAAATAATCCCTATCAAAAAAGGGGGGAAAAAGGAAAAAAATCCCACCCACTACAAATGTGCCAGGACATCAACCAGGGCAATAATTATCTTAATAAAATTTTGGAGATGAATCTCATATTTTGTGTGATATTGTATATTAATATGTGTACAGCCTGGAGGCATAATTTCTAAACTCCAATTTCATATTGTGTCAATGGCAGATTGTTAGTAGTTTATCAAAAGCTTTGCTATGAATGACCTTTTGACAAAGGGTAGCCTCTAGGAGAATAAAAAATGTTTTTTGCTTCTTATTCATGATAGTTGCTTATGTAAAACATTTTTGGAAAAAATTGTCCATTTAAAAATAATAACCTACCAAGTTACAATTATTTTTGATCACCTTACTTGACTTGTAGAGGTTTTAAAACAACCAGCTTAACAGTAAAGGATTATTATTATTATCACTTAAAAAATACTGTAGAAAACATGGTTTGTAAGAAAGAAACCCTGAAGTAAAAACTCGACCTAACATAAACACAGAATCTTCTGTTATGGATTTAAGTGGGAGAAAGATTATATAATAAAAATTAAAAGAAAATCCTTCTGATATAATTATTTTCTTGTTTATCATTTAAAAGAAATGTGAAAGTTTCTTAGAACACCACTTCAGAACATGAGATCCACAGTCTGTCCACTATGATCTTTACATCATGTAACAGATGGAAACACTTCTCATTCCCAGGATTAAATGGGCTGAGACCCACCCTTTGGCTTCCAAACCTCCCTGTGAGAAGGTTCAGGCACCTTGGAGCAGTTCCTAGAGAATCCACCAGAGGGCAGAAGTGCACAGCCACAGCTGCCAACCCCTAACATGGGTCCCTAATAGAATACCTTTTCACAAACAGAAATCAGGTGATTTTGTAAGGGACGTTATGGATTCTTGCTTTGGAAATATTTAAGTGGTTTCCAAGTGAAATATTTTAAGGTGAGAATTCTTTCAGTGATCTAACAAATCAGTCGTTACTGGACTGAAAAGTTAACATGCATGAGAGCGTGTCCTGTCTTTGGCTCCAGGGTTTCACAGGTCTCCCCAGAGACATTAATGGCTTTGTCATCCATTCTTCCAAAATAGACTTGTCCTTTTGCCTTCCCCCTCAGTATGTTATTCCTTAATTTTTTCTCTGAAAATATCTAGTGGCCAACAGGTCTATGAGACACGCTGTAGAGGGCCTCACGGTAAGCTGGCCTTCTAGTAATCACTCTGCAATTCTGCTGTTTCAGGTGGGCCACAAGTTCAAATACCACTATGCTCCAGGAGTGTGGGAGGTCACTAATTACAGTTGTAACAGGGCAAAAGTGAAGCCCTAATAGGTACTGAATTATAGATTCTTCTACAGGTCTCTGAGTTTAAGATAGGTACAGAACTAAAACAAGAAAACTAAACCTAAAAGAAAAAAAATCATTTTGCTTATCTAATTTATATTTTTTTATAATAAATACTATTGTTTACAGGTTACTAATTCATTTAAAAGTATAGATTTTTTTTCCAAAGAAAATCACAGAAATATTTATTTAACTCCCTCTAATCTTAATTCCTAATATGCTGTGGGATTTAAGGAAATGAATATAAACTGGAAAAGTCCAATCATGTGGATTAGGATCAATAATGAAATTACTATTCATCTACATTTACCTTGAAATAGCTACTAGAGGAGTTTTGACTTTGAAAAGAAAATCTCAATGGAGGGTCATCTCTCCAAGGTTTATGCCACCCCCTGCTTCTAACAGACTATGTGCTGAAAACCACAGTCAAGTTATGGTGACTGTGCTCCTTTGTGCATGGTGCATATGTGTGTCTGGCTTTGTCTCTGGTCAGGGAAGTGGGGAAAAACTGGGGAGAGCTGATGTGCATCATAACTTTGTTTTTCCTCCCTTATCTGAACCTTATGCTACTTTAAAAAAAAAAGTCTACTTGTATCTGATTTTTCAGAAGAATTCTGTGGAAGCCATATATGGAGGCTGTTTGGGTGGTGTGGTGTTATGTAAGTCGGGCTAGGCATAGGGAACTGGGTTCCGTGTCTTTTCTCAGTTGTGTCATCTTGGAAATTCACTTCTCCTTGAGGGAGGGCCTCAGTTTTCCCATCTGTAAAACTGTCAACTAGATGAGATCACTAAGAATTCTTTAAACTCTGAGATTCTATGATCATTAGAGTTGATCTCTTAGCGGAATAATAGGTTCATGCCCTTTAGCACCTCATAGAGTCAGACATTGGCTTAGAGACTGAGGTAAGAGTTTATATATTTGTGAACTTGGTGAAAGTTGAGCAGGATGGAGAAAGAGAGAGAATGGATATAAAAATATGAGTAGAGGGTTGCTTTGATTTGAATAGCCTGTTTTTTTTTTTAGTGCTCTGAATAGAAATAGAAAAAAAAAGGTTAGTACTTACTGGAATTGCTGTTTAGATCATTCAGCGTTATGGACAAATTTCAGTTGTCACACATAAAGGGTCTTATTTACACGAATGACTTTGCAGGGCTTGTGTAAACGCAAGGAAAACTAGAAGCCCTAACTGCTCTGTTTCTCATGGGGTTCAATCTGTCCCTTGGCCCTGTCAAATATTTGGCTTTAGAATCCTAACCCTCTTTAGCTATCAAAGCAAGATCAGGACATCTAGATATCCTGCACGAGAGACATTTCAGGCTGTATCGTACCTTTAATGCAAACTAGATGCCACCAAACAGCTTAAGGAAATGAGAAGGAAGCACATGACCGAAGGGCACGAGGACACAGACTGGGACGGTCAGGGGCGTACCTGTTGGAATGAACGCGGTGTGTTGCTGCAGCTGCGCGCTGGTCAGAGCCTGCTGGTAGTGCAAGACACTGGGATTAAAGACCGTGCTGGCACCGTTGCTTTTTTCAAGTGCTTGTCTCTTTGGTAAAGGATGAAGAGCACCAGGAGGAAAGGCCTAGAAACCAAGAATTCGATAAGAGATGTCTAACTTAAAGCAAACACACCTTGCTTGTCCACAGAGATCATCAATTGCAACATTCTTTTTTAAAAAAACGACAGCTAAGGAGATGCCTCTGCCATGCACCTTAATTTAAACAGCGGCAATGTCGAATGAGTGAGAATTTGTTATTGAGAGCAAAAGCGTGATTTCTGAAACCCAAAACGGTAGCATCTCAACTAAGGGAAAGAAAAACTATCAAGCAACAACAACGGAAAAAAAAAAAAATGGCTTCGGCTTTTAAAATGGTTAAACTATTCTAAGGGGGAGAAAGAAGCATTGGTGTTATTAATACCTATTCTTTTCTTTAGCTAAATGGCAACTTCTTGAATTTAAAGGTTAATATGAATTATAATGAGCATTTTCTGAGCCAAGTCATGTAAATTTGCTTCACTCTTTTGGAAAAGGTATTAAAATTTGTTAGGTTTAATTTATTTCACAGATTAACATATGAAAATGAGATGGCTAAACACCTTATTGAATTTTTTTTCCATTAATTAATAATAATGATTGGTTGCAACCAATATCTTACAAGTAATACAAATCTCAGATGGTTCTCTGAAAAGCTACATGCAAAGCGAAAGGTGAAAGGTCAAAGTACCAGGTCTACAGTTGCTTCGAGAGGTCGCTTCATTGCTTTGGCAGTCGACTGAGTCTTTTAATAACAGGCAGCGAGCACATGATGGCAGTGGGCCAATGGGATTCAAGCGAATTAACATACAGGTAAACAGCAAGCAGAGGTGCATCATGGGAACGGCATTGCATTGTGGATAGGTGAGAAGGAAAAAAATATTCTGAATGCAATATACAACGTACAAAACACTAGGCATGCACAACAACAAAAATGTTCTCTAAAGAAATGAATATTACACCTTAAATTAGTATCGAAGCAAAAATGCATCTACTATACCTTAGTTAAAAGCATATAAGAGAGTAAAATATAGATGTTTGAAATTCAGGAAAGTTAATTAAAACAGCAGCTTGCATACACACCATAAGCATTTTTTATATTGCTTCAGAAAAAAAAAAAAAAAAAAAAAAAGCAAAACTTTAAGGGCCATAGGATTCAAGAACTTCTGATAAGTTAGTTTTCAGGTACAAAACACTGAAGGTACGATCCAAGTTGAAATTTTTCATAAAAATCAGTCTTAATTCAGATCTGGCCTAACAAAATGAAGTGGCAAACTGAGACAAAAAAAATTCAGGCAAAAAAATATTCAAACACAAGATTATTTCGGCAAAACTGTTTGGGTTTGGATCTTTATTTTTTGTCTGAATCGCGTGGATAATTGTCTCAATTCTTTCCTTCACTCTGCTAGCATCTTAAAAAACTTAAATTTTGAATTTAAATCGTGAGCTTCCAAAATTCTCACTTTTCTTCCATTTTTCTGTTTCTAGGGACTAACTTATCATCCATTCTGTTTTCTATCACATTTGAAATTATAATTAATTTATCTCAAACAACTTACCGGATTAAACTTAAGAGAATACCTTTAAAAAGGTATTTAGTGTCCTTGGGTATTAAAATGATTTCTATTTGATAGTTCTATTTGTATTTTTAGGTACCATAAGTGATCAAACCAATTAATGAGAAGTGGAACTCCTGGCTAGAACAAGTACAATAAATAGCAAACAGCTAAAAATGGCAAAGAACTGCTTAAAGACTAGAAATAAAATATATTTAACTTATAACCATACTTTTGGGGAGATAGTTTCATTTAAACAACCAAAATAATAACAAATATGGACTGATTTAGACCACAATGAAAAATTTTTCCTATTCCTGGTTAGTTGTTGTTAAACAAAAAATGGAAAAATTCTAAGATGGAATTCTGTGAAAATAAATTCAAAGGAATAGCTCCAATGCAAATTAAAAAAAATGAAATATCCCTTTTCTGTGTTTAGCACAATAGGTAAATCCCTAAGATTTGTCTAATAATGAAATATTTATGTCCTAAAGTTCTGGAGGGTAGAACTATGGCATTTTAAATAAAATAATATAGTGATAGACCCTTAAAACTGGAATAACTAGTGATATTTTCCTTGGGAAAATCATTTGATGATTCAGAACAGAAAGTATGGTCCTGACAGGGGATCGGTAAAGAGCTGGGGCAGGGGATTCAAAACAGGGTGGGAAGGGCTGCAGGTCAAGGTAGATTCAGGATGGCCAAGGTTTTGGAAGGTGGTTTTGATAGAGGCCACCAAAAACTAGGAAAGCAATGTTGTGAAAGTCAAGCAGTGAATGTTACTAACCAAAGCAACCGGATGAGCTGGAAAATGACAAAACTTGTAGATATTTTTTCCTCAAATGTAAATTCAACATCAAATAATACCTACAATGCCAGTGGTGTTGTTTAAACTCTTTGGACCCTGCACAGTGTTACACTGTGAAAAAAATGCAGACTTTGCTTTGGTTTTTGAGTTTAAACGAATGTCTGTTAATTAAAGAAAGCAGCATAGCCTACTCTCATAGAGCCCTTGGGAACACGAACTGGATGTTAAACTCAAAACCATTTTCGCCTCCAGTGGTCCAGACTCAGCTGCCCCTTCACCTGCAGTCTAGCATTTTCAGAATGAATCTAGTGTTGGGAGCATCTTTTCTGACAAGAGTCTCGAAAGGCTGGGTTTAGGAACAAAATTAACAAAGCATCACTGAATGAAGTCCCCCAGTAGAATAAGAACAAAACATATTTAATGTTTCTTTTTTAGATAGTTAGGAAGGTTAACGTGTCCCCTCCCCCCACTTTTTTTTGTTTATTGAAATCTGATTTCCATAGAAATAATTAATAATAATTAGAATAATTTAGGAATGTAAGGAAACAATGCTACAGTGAGCAGGACAGGGGTGACTTGTCTCTGTTCCACTGCATGGTGTATGTTTTCTTTATTAGATGCAGCTGTCTTCTTTGCAAGCTAACTCTGAGATCTTAGAGAGGAGGGTACAAAAATTAAGATCTTAGAGGCCCCACAATGCAAAGCTATATTGAAAGTGTGTTTTAAAACTCCTTGTGGATGTGGATGAGTAGTCATGGGACAATGTGGCTTATTTTGATGTTTTTAAACTCTCCTCTGTTTTAGTTGGTGCTGCTGACGGCTGGCTTGTGTACCTGCAATGCAGGATCTTCAGGCTCAGACCCAGCCTTAGAGACCTAGGAGCCCAGTGTGCGCTGGGAGCCTGCTTAGGTTCCCATGCAGAAAAGGTTCTATTTAATTGAGCCCCTATCATGTGCCTGGCACTTGGCATCCACTTTTGCTGGCCTCACCAGCACTTAGGTCCTCTGCTTACTCTGGACCCCTCCAGCTAGCTTATGCTGGATGAGTCAGGAGGAGGTGGCCCATGTGCAGCCAGGTTTTTCTATTTATGGGTTGATGAGCAACCTTCCTGCAGGTCAAGGTGAGCAACCAAGGGCCAGGTGTGACAGGCAAAGACCAAATCCAAGGGGTCAGGAAACCCTGGCAAAAATGACCAGAGCTACCACTTCCATGTGGGCCGAGAGGATGTGGAGGATGGAATTTCAAGTCCCTGTGCATGTTTCCTGCACAACTGAAACTTATCTAGCCGATGGCAGCTTGACCCGTTTCCTTTTATAAACTACTTTTCTCCTCGCATTGCCCCATTTTGGTGTATGTGAACAAAGACTGCGTACGTGAGCATCAAGCATGCTTTGTGTTAAAACTACCCAGGAGAAGCTCTGTCTAGTTTATCCTCATATTTTAAAAATTCTGGTGAAGGTGATCCTTAGTTTTTAAGAGGTATTGTAAAAGAAGAAGACTTGAAAGGAAATAAATGTCTCTCTTCCAGAGTCAAAAGCTTTAAATTCCTTTTTAAAAGGGTCTCATTAGGGCTGGGGTTGTAGCTCAGCAGTAGAGTGCTCGCCTAGCACGTGTGAGGCCCTGGGTTCGATCCTCAGCACCATATAAAAATAAATAAAATAAGGGTATTGTGTCCAACTAAAAATTAAATTAAAAAAAAAGAAAAGGGTCTCATTAATCAAAATAAGGGGGGAATCCACAGATCACAACAAAAACGGTGCTATGGAAATGCCCTGGGTTCAGATGAGGAGGCCAGGTGAATGGGACATGGACATCTGCTAACTGCAATCATCATCCCATTTGTCCTTTTAAACAAGGAAATTAAATTATAGTTTTTCTTCAGGGTACTAAGGAATCTCGCTATGAGGGTACGAAGACTTTATCCAGCTGCACCTCTGCTGGTTTCGAATGAGCGACTCACTTAAACTAAAAAGACATGACAGATTAAGTAATTTTTATGTCACTGTCAGAAAGATGCTGGCTTTTGTTCTGAAACGACATTCCTTTGGGTTGCCTCTGAAGATGCCGTGGGATCCTGTGACTTCTCAGAACTCCAAATTTGGGCACGGTGGAAAAACCAGAGAAACTATGGCAACGGACTCCGCCAGCATCCCGGGCGGCAACCTTTGCCTGTGGTGACGAGTGTTCTGTGAACACGTGTGGCAGGGCCTGAGAGAGCAGCTGTGGCTGCAGACCACCAGGGGGAGGGTGGACCTGTGCGTGTAAATGACGTTTCTGCTCCTAGCCCCATTGGCCTGGATGTCCTACTGTATGTAAGAGGTGCCCTGTCCCTTCAATCATTTGAAATAAATGTTGATGTGGACATCAAAACTGATGTTTCCAAAAAACAGGAAGAAAAAAATCAGGCCACAGTTAGAACCAGGGCTCATCCCTAGGGTCACTATTAGTACCATGTTTTTGTCGTAACAGGTACTTGAGTTGCAGGGAGTGGTGTTTTCATATTCCCGAACCTCATCTGATACCTCAGTAGTGAGAAATGGCTATTGTGACCCAGGCTAAGCCAGTAGAAGCTCTTATCCCTCTAACTACAGGAAGAGCCACCAAATGACATGTAACTAATTTTTCCCTAGAGATGGGAAACAATAGCTCTATTTATAGATTCTGTAACATTACTCATAGATACTGTTTTCTCTCTTATCAAGAGATATAAGAATGTGCCCCTCCTTCTAGAAGCTCAGAGTCATGGTCTGTGTCATGGGAGAAGCTGGACCCACAGAACGGAACTGACAAACTAGGCGGGAAAGTCCCTGCACCTGGCTTTCCTGAGTCTCGTTTTTCCTCTCCCCTCTTGGAAGGGCACTGTGACACGACAGTGAAGTCCAACTTCGTCATTTACATTACTTCAGGTGGGTGTTTGTCTCTTGCTGCCAGAGTCCTGACCAGTCCTGCTAACATCCTGAGTTTCTGGTTTGATATTTATAAGATGAATTATATGGAAAAACATGTTCTTAGTGCCCAACAATCAACACGCCGATTAGGATAAGTTGAGAGTTGGCTTGAAAAAATGACTACAATGGAAACAACAACAACAAATTCTTATAATATGAGACCTTCATTAAGTGGGTGGGAAGATGGAGTCCACCCTGGACAAAAGTGGAAAGGACTCATTTGCCCTCTAAAGCAATTTCCTTTTCATCAACATTTTCCCATCCTTCCTTCTAGTTCTCTTCTGCTAGAACTCAAAAAGCTAACATTTCTCTATTTTTTACTGACCCTTTTGTATGGGTGTACACATCCACGTGTATACAGGAACTTAAAAAAAATCATTGTAATGTTCAATGATATAAGAAAGCGAAGGACAAAAGGAAAGAAGACTACAGGGACAAGATCTCTTGGGGAAAAAAAAAGATGAAGGACTCACTTCTCAAGCTGTGTGGAGATGAGCTCAGATGGGAAAGACCTATATATCCACAAAGTCCACACCAATGGCGATGTTATCAGGGCAGGCTCTGTGTCCTCTGAACACAGGCCCACACCTTTAAAAGCCTTTGAGAAAAAGGTTGCATGATGATAGACTTGTTTGTATGACAGCTACTCATCTGTTTTGGCCAGTTGTCAGTGTATGAGGCTATAGTTGTACCTAGATAATGTTTTTTAAAATGATATCTTTCATCTCCAATGTTCCCAAGAGAGGACTGGCCACAGAAGCCTTCATGTCCCTCTCACCCATCATGCATTTCTACAAGGTCACTGAAGAAATGACATTGGTACCCTCACTTACTCAATTCCAAGCGCCTTGAGGGTAAAGACACTTGCCTCCTTTATTTATTCTACCCAGAAAGTGCCTGATGCTCGGCAGGTCCCATTAGCTGTTTTGAATGAGTGAATGCACAGTGCTTATCATAGAGTAATAGACTTTCATAAGCCAGACCTCTCACTTTAAAACAAGTTAATTAAAAATGTCTGCCACCCAGTGTGGTGGTTCTCAAACTTGGATGTGCACTGGAATCACCTGGGAGCTTTAAAAGATAGGCCACTGCCAGTTCACATCAGGCAAACAACAATCTTTGGAGGAAGGGGTCAATGTCAGACCCTTTCAAAAGCCCTGGATTAATTCCAAAACGTAGCCAAGTTTGAGAAGCAGTGTTCTAGGCATGTATTTCTCTAATGTTAATGTGCATACAAAACACTGAGAAGGTTTTAAAATTCAGATCTTGATGCCAAAGATGTAGGATGAGGCCCAAGATTCTGTAGGCTCAAGAGCATCATGATGTGCTCCGGTTGCTAGGGAAGGGCTGGGCTCCTTGAGATTCTGGAGCTGTAACAGGCTCCCAAGGTGTGGATCATAATATTGCTGCTGGTCTCTAAGGGACATTGAGGCGCATCCAGGAGACAAGCCTGGGTGACAGGTCCCTGGGTTTTAGCACCATCTAGCACACTTCTGTTTTCATCTGTTCCATGAATTGCCGTTCTATATACAATTTCATGGTGGGAGGGGGGAGCGGTGATAGGTTCTAACGTTGTGATAAGTGAAAGAAAAGGGGGGGGGGAATAGGAAGTGGAAAAACCCCTGATGAGGTCACTTGTTGCTAGGCATCCGGTGCAGCCACAGCTCCCCTCCCTGGCTGCTCGCAGCTTTCCAGTGCTCAGCGCCAGAGGGCCATCTTCCTTTCCTCTGCTCTGAAGCTCTGCACCCACCAGGGTCCCCACCCCACCGGGTCCCTCTCTTCAGAGGACCCCAGTTACTACAGTGCAGGCTCACGCAGAACTGGAGCCCGCAGGTCGCATTGGGTTCCCTGAACCTTAGGGATTTATTTATTGTGCTGAAGAAGGGAAGGAAAGGAGGGAAAACAAAACAAAACAAAAAGGGGAAACAACAACGAAACTTAGGCAGCGGAGCAGCGGGAATAGCAGCCTTCCACGGTCCCGACTGTCCGGGGAGCGTCTAAGTCCCCGCCCTGGAAGCCCCGCCCCCCGGCCGGGAGGGCGCGGGGCGGCGGGGCGGGGCGCGCGGGGGCCGCACTTACCATGACTGTGGCCGCGGCCGCGGCTGCCTGGGCGGCCACCGCAGCTTGGTTGGCTTGGTGCTGCGCAGCTTTGATTTTGGCCTGCAAGTGTGCAGGAGGGTGAAAATATTTGCATTTCTCCCTCATGCAACGCCCCTTTATGTAATCCATACAAACGGTTACGGTGTTGTCGTTTGTGTCGATCATGGTGCTGTCTGCCGGGTGTGCGAAGCGGCAGTCGGTCTCTCCCCGGGCGCAGTTGCCGCGCTGGAACTCCCTGCATACCTAGGACAGGAGGGAGGAGAGCGATGCGGGAGGGCGCCTGCGGGCCAACGCCGCCTCCCCGAGGACGAAGGGGCGCCTCCCGAGCTTCTCAGGGTGGCTTTTGTGCCTGGGAGCCTAAGGCTTTCCTTATCCATCTCCCAGGTTACAGAATCTCTGACAATAATCTGACTTTTGTGTTGCCCCCTTTTTCTAGGGGGAATTTGAAGCTGAGAAAATAATCCGAAACCTGCAAATTAGCTAAAAGAACAAAGAAAAACCAGCAAAGCCTCCATCCATCGTGGCCGGTTGGAAGGTCACAGTCTCTCTGTCCCCAATCTCCTACCTGAAAACACTCTGGAGTTTGCTATAGAGTTTTATTAATTGATTGGAGAGATAATGTCAGGGTGGGTCAAGCTACCATTGGGGTCCAACTCCAAAAAGTTATAGGGAAATGAGGTCCGCACTCCTTCCTCCTCCCTCTGGGTGGATGCAGGACCAGGGGGCCTGCTGCAGTCTCCCCCACCTTCTCTGCTGCTCTACAGAGAGAACTTATGCCTAGGATCATCAATAGCAAGAACTGCAATATCCGAGACACCAAAACATTCATCTTAAGATGATGACTATATTATTAGTTTTGACAACCCCAGAGATTAAAAAAAGAAACAGAAAAATATGCGCAGAGATAAAGGGTAAGACAAATGGAGGGAAGGAGAATAGAGTTAGAATGTTGGTTTTTGAAGTCTTTTTAATCCCCAATTCGCCTGAAATCTCAAGTAACTAAAATTTTCCATCCTCAGATTTTGGTGGATCAAGATTTTATTGCATAAAGAAAGATTTCTTCAGAACTCAAGTGGTTTTCTTTTTTTCCTTCCTTTCTTTTTAATGCACCTCCTGATGGGTCTTACTCAAGTGACTCATGGACAACATTAAAGAAACAGGCAGTTGGAAGTGATCTTAATTGAATTCTTTCGTTTTCTGGAAAAGTATTCTTAATTATGCTTTGGACATAGACAACTGAGATGAATAGTGTATGCATATTAATTATGAATTAATTCTTCCTTGCCTATAAATATCAGCAGGGAAGGATTAGTAGGATTGTAAGTTATTTCTCCTTAGGGTCCAGTTTCATAGTCAACATGTGTAAGTGACGGTGGCCATGAAGGGTCACTGACAGGAAACCCAAGTCTTGTGAAAGTCAAACACACTTGGGAAATAGTGTTTCACTGACCAGTGGCCAGGTGAGATTGAAAAGTAAACAGGATAAGTCATGAGTGGTTAACCGTCTCCTCCTACTTTGGTATTAACATTCCATCTTTAGTTCAAAAAAAAAATGTGCAAAGTACAGATTACTAAGCTATTAGCAGAGATTCTGAGTAAGCCTTTCTCTACAAATGGAACGATTCCTGTCTGTGACATCACAGGTGTAGACCAGCATTTGCCCAGGGTCTCTGTATACAGCTGACTTCATTCCTGATTTGAAATGAACTGAAACTGCTCTGCTCAAGTCTCTGTGAATCATTTTTACATATCATTGTCCACCAACTCTGTTGGGAGGGACTACTTGTTCCCAACTCTGCTGATTTAATTTGTTTTCTGGAACAGGCATGCACGGAACACTAAAGCTCTGTGGGCCCCAGCAGGTGGAGCCCCAATCACTTTTCCAGTACCCTAACACATCTATTCAATATTCACAGGGATAGGCTGCATCTTTTCAAAACAGGAGCGATTAGTGTTTGCATTCTCCTCATCTAGAGATCCATATACTCCAGATTGAAGCTGAGTAAAAAAATATACATCTTTAAAAATATTTACAGTTTGACATTCTGAATCCTAAATCATCCACAGGATATTAGGATGCAAACACTCTGTTGCCCTCAAGGTTTACTGGGTTAATATTTAAACAAGCACACACTGGAAGAATATTCTCTAATGATCCAACCTTCTATGTATACACAGATTACCCAACAACTTAAATCAATAATGTAATTAAAGGAGGACTTTGAAAAATTTGTCAGGATCTTTATACACCCTGCTAAAGTTCTTTGAATATCATAGGGACATTGTGGTAAGGTTAATAGATGAATTATCTAGCTCTGATTAAAGAGAAAGTTTATTTAACAAAGTGGAGAAGGATCAGTTTGATTCACAACGTGAAGATTTGTGTTTTATAAAAATATAGACTGTTTTCTTAGAATCTGTATAACACTTTAAGTTTAAAAAAAAAACTCAGTTAATAACTAAGTTTATCCAGCTTCCAATTCCCACTATGCACCAGTGAAGCCACCAGAGATGATATTCTGGAACATACTAGAGCAGGTGTACTTGGTTCTTAATAATTTGAAGTATGTTCACAACAATTGGTTATTAGTCATGGTCCCACTTGCTCCAACCCTTGTCCCTGACTGTCTCCCACTGCCCTGGTTGCTGAGCTTCTGATCAACTCCAGAATGTTCCAGGATCCAGTAAGGGTTTGTGCTGGGCAACAGGAGGAGGCTATCAGAACTCGGAGCCACTTGTATAGCTTGAATAGTGATTGATTTCATATTCTATTAGTTGAGAAATATTTTGCCCTTATGCACATAGTCCACACAGCTGATTTGTGCCTATGTTAAAGTGATTCCTTTCCCACAGACTAATTTTCTTTATACCTGGCATTCATTTCAAACCATACAATGTTGAGTGGGTGGGTTTGGGAGGAGTGTGTGTATATGTGTGCGTGGCATTTTTGCAGAACATTTTTGCAGAATGACCTCACAAGCATTTGCCTACACAGAAGTGCACTTTCTACCACAAATGCATCTCAAAACACAAACATAATTGAAGTACCTCCAGTTTGTCAGTCCTGAGAAGTTTCTGAGTTGCAGTTGATCCCGGGACAGTGACAGGTGGACTTCCGGGAACAATAACAGGTGTGGTGGGTAGAATTTCCGTTGGGACTAACCCAACTCCAGGGGTTACAGGTGCTAAGTAAGGAGCAAAGCTAATAGCCGTATTTGTCCCTATGGCGGGACCTACAGGAAAAGTGGGCTGTTAAAGGAAGACAACACAGGAAAAAGGTGAGAGTCAAACTTCAAAATCACCAGCAAGTGTCATTTGAGCAAAATTTATTCATTGTATACAATATTTTTTGTTAGTTGCATAATTCAATGCTGAATTGTAAACATTCATTAAACATCTCTTTTTTGTTTTCCTTAATATAAATGAAAACCATATAGATTTTCTTCCCCAAACCATGTACAAATATAGAAGAAGTTCATAGAAACCCATTTACAAGAAACAGAGTAGACCTTTGTTCTCATGAAAGTGTTCTCAATAAAAGGAAACGATAATTACCACTCTAAGCATTCATTGTTTCAAACGATTGAACATTATAACACTAAAGCAGTAAAGCTTATGGAATACAAACTGTCTTTGATTCTCCCACACATCTCAAACGGAGAGGAATAAAGAAAATCCAAGATTATACCTTGATTTTCAAGTTGACCAAATTTATGCATTTTCAAATAGTGTAGCTATTGGGATTTTATTTGTGCTCAGAGTTGCCAGTATATTTCCACATTCCATCTCTACATATATTCCCAAAACTCATATGCGGTTTTCAAGTAGACCTACTATGTTTTGCTGTAGCTCAAGACGCCTCATCTAACCTTCCCTTCATGAAAGGCTGGATGAAAGAGTTTGAAAATTGTCAACCAACAAATTTTTCAATGAACCATTAAGTCTTGGTTTGGTTTCCTAGATCACAAAATCAAGACAATTGTGACAAAAGTATCCCATACTTTATTAAATGTGTTCTGTGTCACTGTATTCGTGTAGGAAGTATAGAGACTCCTATACTCTTGTAAGAGGAAATACACTAGTAGGTCATGGAGATGATTTTTTAAAAAGCTCTTCCTATAAATATGTAAATAATTCTGCCTTCCAGAAAAGAAAATATGTACATGTGAGAACAATGAACCTTGATTCACTTTAAAGAACTACCATTAAAAATGTAAGATTCCAAAGATTTTTCTTAGAATAATTTTTACATTGAATTAGACCTGAATGGCTCTTGCTGTTTGTTTGTTTGTTTGGTTGGTTTTTATTTGTGGATGATTTTAACACACTTGTTTTCAGGATAAGTTTTCAGCCATTTGCAATCATATGTTAATGCAATTTTCTAACATTGAATTATGCCATTCTGTGTGTCATTTCCCTTCTCTGTTCATACATCACAGATGACCTTGTTGTCTATTTGTGAGTCTGAATGAGTTGTTCAAATGGGAAAAATAACAATCTTTGTTTAGTAAACACATTTTTCTTTACAATAGCTGAAAAATCTCTTATAAATGGTCATGTTAGAAAACAGTGAATTATTGGTGGTTGTGTAGGGATTCCCAGAGAGGCTGAAGAGCCTTTGCGCAGTGGCTGGGCCTGTGCTTCTCATGGTCTTAGATGGCGGATGCTCAGTCCTCCCTGGAGGAGCTCTTAGATCTTTATGGCTCAGGCATAAAATTCGTTGTGAGAGAAAGTGGCAACGTGAGGTCTCAACATGGGAAATAGACGGCAGTCAGGATTTTTTCCTCCTTTGACTTTCTACAAAATTTTATATATGTGTATTATGCACTTGAGTCATAATTATAACAAGTTGTGGTTTGTCATCAACTATAGCTTTTATAATTTAGTACTATTGGAAAAGAGCCAAGGGATTTAATAGTGTAAGGACTAAGTAATGTTAGGATCTTAAAAAAAATCAATTCTGAATGGTCATAAATCAAAACACATCAGTGATTCAATGTATCGGTTGTATCAGAAATGCCCGGAAGAAATTTTTAAAATAGAGTTAAACTCTGAGTACTAGGTCTAGGCAGAGACCTTAAAATGTGTATTAACTTTTTTTTTTTCCTACATGGTCAGGTGTGTGGAGAAATTTGGGAACCAGTGTCAAAAATGAGGAATTAAAACAGGTAATAAAAACTTGTACTAAATACTCAGAGACTAATTATCAAAGTAAACATTTAGAGCAAAGAGCTCTCTCCCATATCTCCATCTTGATTTTCTGTGGAGGCAAATTCCCAACCATCTCGTCCCATATATCAGTAGGGCAGCATAAATACAGGTTGTGCCTTGACCATCAACAGGATGTGAGGACTTCAAAACTCATCCCCCAGAACCTTTCTGGATATCAACTAATCTGTTCCAGTTAGCCAAATCTTGCCTTCAAAAACATGTCGCTTGTTCATCTGATTTTATGATCTAAAATGAATGCCCTGGTATGTTTTATTGATGATAACTAGCATGTAGTTCACAGAGAAATATGTTATTGAAAAGTAAAAATACAGATTTTAGACAGTGGGAGGTTTACATTTAAATCCAGTGCTCTGCCACTTATTCCACGCCCCCCTCCTGTCCCAACCCCAGGAAGAAAACTAACCTCTCTGAGCTTTAGTTTTCTCATCTGCAATGGGGAGGAAAAGCCACTTAGCTGAACAAGGTGCTATTTCTCGTCAACTTCCCATGGTCCAATATTAATAAATAGCCATTGTAGTAGTGTAAATGTCAGTACTAATAACATTTTTTTTTGGTCTCAAATTATCCAATGCTTTTAAAACAGAAATGTAATCAGCATAGCAATATACTAAATAGAAGTTTAAATTGGATTAAACGGTAGCAAATATCTTCTTTTTTGAAATAGGAGGTGGGAAATAAATGTTTTCTGTTATGTGAAATTAAACGTTAAAAATTCTCAGGCTTTGCAGAGATAGATTCAATTGGGTGTTTTTCTTTTATTTTATAGTGTTTTTCATTGAAGTTGATTAGTTAAAAATTACAGCAACAGTCGTTTGCTGAGATGTGCGTTCTGCGTTGTTATTATGACGGACTGTAATACTTTACATCTGTGGAAGCTTCTGGCATTCTCAAAGCCTTCCTACACATACTGTCTTCTTTAATCTCCCAACACTTACAAGAAGCAAGTGTGGGTGCAGGCATGCGCAGCCTCCAGGTGAGAGCAGGTTGGAGACACTGGAAGGAAAATCCAAGGTCGGTGCCTCCGAGAGTCAAGGCTTTCCAAGCAGCCAGGCGCCCAGTCTCAGGCTAAGTCCACTCTTCTGCATTCCCTAGACTTTTGCCATATTTCTTAAAAAAAAAAATAGAAAGGTGGGGGGGACCAATATATTGGAGGTCTGAATGCCTCTGAGCACACAGAAAGCCGTGTGTGCCCACCGCCAACCTGAGCCTCCTACAGACAATAGGAGCTGCTCCCTACAGCCCTGTGGGAAACTGCTGCCTTGAGAAAGTGACTCCTAGGTCCCCTGGTGGAAGGAGACTCTGAGCTGTGCAGTCTTTGCTGACAAGGCATCCTGGTGTCTGAACTGGGTTCCCCGCAGGCAGCTAAGGGAAGAGCAGGGCGGCACCGTTAAGAGTCTGTTCCCAGAAGCGGTGGCACCCGCTCTGGCTGGGAGAATGAGCCTGCAGCTCTGCATAAGTGCTGTTGCCACGCTGCCTGCCGGAGACAGGATCCATTTGGTCCCCGTCATCTCTCGGCGCTAACCCCCAGCTGAAAAGGCCAGAGGACAAGATCTGCAAAAAGCTTTCTGGAAGAAAATCGCTTGTGAAATGCCCATCTTGCTGTTTCCTCCCCGTTCTCCTCTCCAAGTCCGTGTGCTTCTCGGCCCCCCTCCCACCCTCAGCTCTATTTCCCCAGCACATTACATCTGTAGTTTGGGGTTCACTGGAATTGGCTGGGGTCCAGAACACACAATGCATTGTAGGTCAGAGTCAAGGTTAAAGGTCTAGGCTTGGTCCCCAGTGACATGGCATTGAAGGGTCTCCAGTAAGGGGGTGACAGGATCCTACGCAGGTTTTTAAAAGATTCTTCTGATTCTATACATAGGATATACTGGAAAAAGTAAGGGTGGAGGGTGACAGATGAGGAAGGAATTGCTGATGCGGGGGCTCCGACGAGGGTGCTGGGAGGGAGAGAAGAGGATGGTTTCAAAGGCAGATGTGCCAGGACCTGCTGACACACTGTGTGCCAGGGCCTGCTGGGTTGGGTTCAGGATTTCATCTCGATTGTGCCACTTACTGAAATGGGAAAGTAGGGGAATAGAGAATTTGGCTTTGAACATGTCAAGTTCGTGTGCGAAGTTTGAAGGCGAGTCCAGCAGGCAACTGGCTGCGTAAGCCTGGGTTTCAGAGGAGTGGGTTAGAATGGAAGCACACTTTGGGGGTCTCAGCCTGTAAATGACTTACATTTGGGAATTAATAAAGCCATGAGAGACAGGGTAGATAGGAAGAAACATCCAGCCTGGGAATCTCTACCTACAACAGAAGCTTGAAATGGGCACAGGAGACAGAGGCGTCAGAGAGGCCTGTTCAACATGGATCCTGTGTGCTGAGGGACACTGGGGAGAGGTCTCAGCTAATTCAGGCTGATACAACAAAAGACCATGAGCTGGGGCCTTTTAAACAACAGAAACTGATTTCTCACAGTCCTGGAGGCTGCAAAACTCATGATCAGGGCACGGAGGGCACCTTCTTTCCATAGACGGCTGCTGCTGGCTGTGTCCTCCATGCAGAAAGGCCACTGCGTCTCTTCTCCTAAGGACACTGCCACATTCAGGAGGGCTCCACCCTCATGACCTGATCATCCCCTCCCCAAAGGTCCTAACTCCAAACCCCCTCTCCTTGAGGGTCGGGACTTCGATATCTGAATTTGGGGCAGACATACACATTCAGACTGTAGCACCAATGGAGGTGAAAATGACCACTGGTTTGGTGATATGGAGGACTGGTCAGAGACTCGGTGGAACCTGTCAGGGCCCTATGAAAGGAGAAGTGGAAAGGAATATCCTTAACGCTTTAACGAACTTTAGCCCAGAAGGAGACCTAAAGGAAGAGTGGTTTCTGGTACTCTATGTTTAGCTATTTATTTGTCTAAGGCAGTTTCTGCATCTTTTAGCTGTTTGTGGCAGCTGTAGACAAATTACTTGAGGGCTTAAAATAACAGTTATTTATCTTTCCTCAGTTCTGGAGGCCAGAAGTCCAAAATTAGTTTTGCTGGGCCAAAAGCAAGGTGCTGGCAGAACTATACTCCCTTCTGACATTCCGGGGGAGGATTGTTCCTCGGCTTCTATCTTCTGGTGGCTGCTGGCATTCCTTGGCTTGTGGCCACATCAGTGTCTGCCTCTGTGGACATGTGGCCTTTCTCCTCTTCCGTCCGTGCCAACCCTCCCTCGGCCTTTCCCTTAGAGGCACACTTGTGATGGCATTTAATCTGGAGGATCTCATCATCACACATCTTCAGAGACCTTGTTTCCACACAAGGTGCCCTGTATAGGATTCAGGCACTCTGAGGGCCATTATTTAGCCAAACACACCGTACTGGACAGTAATGAACTTCTGAGATTCTGAAGTGATTTGCTGGTAGAATCGATGATTTTTAGGCTTGTCACATTTTTTATTTCAATACTTCATGTGATTCAGAAACCGCCACTGAAATATTTAAATGAAATGTGCTTTTTTTTCCCCCACAGAGAAAGGGTGATTATTTAGCTTCTAATTAATATTTGAAACAAATATATAAACAAAACTTTCAAAAATCGTTCAACTAATAGTTAAGAGTAGGAATGGAATTTTCAGAGTAATATTGCCATTGAGTCACAGGGTCAATTCTTATTAAATTCTAAATAATTAGGAAGCACATAGTTCAAATGAGTGAGATATATAAGGTACTGTTACTATATTGACCTGGCTGGTTCTAAATTCATTGCCATAGACATTATTTAATATATATAACTATATTATTTTAGCATTTAGGTAATTTAATAAAATAATTTATATGTGTGCATCAATAAAGAGAACCATAAATTATACATGTGTGTAGTTTTAAATAGAACCACTTAAGTGCCTATTTTTGGTACTGAATGTGTTTAGAACTCTGTCCTTGTTAAGTCTGGACATCTGGGCTAGCTGTTACTTGTCCTGCGGATACACTTAATGGAGACCTTCTTCGGGCAGCTTTTCTTATCCAATCCCATTTTTTCTTGGGCCTGACTCTTCCTTCACCCTCTCAGGTATCTGTCTACCTGCAAAAGGCTGAATCTTTCTTATCTTGGAGTTGCCTTCCTCTGGCATTTAATCTTGGAGTCCCCTTCACCTGGCATTTAGTCTTGATTCCCCTGCAGAGCTGGTTCCTGGCTACTTTGTGCAGAAACCTGGAGACAAGTAGAATTGCCAACAACCTGCCCGACTCTCTCCTCCCTTCTTGGCGACCCCTACTCTCCCCAGTCCATCTCACAAGAACACAAGAAGAAAATTTAACTCCAGGGTAGCTTTTCATTTGGAGACTTTTCCTACAATAAGGATTAATTTTTGTAAATAGGCCTTTGTGCATGTATTTTTTTTTTAAAAAAAGCAAACTTAATTCACTGTGGTCATTTTTTTAAAAAAAATTAACTTGTTTTAGACAAATCCTTCACAAATGTAAATGAAGCCCACTGAAATTGGGGTACTCCTGGCCCCCAGGGCCTCATTCCTAAAACAATATCCAGACCTTTAAGGAAGTACTTTCAAACCCTGAAACCAGAGAGGAAATACTGCACAATCCATATTCACGACGTAAGTCTCTTGGGCATTTGACCTGTGGCCCTTGTCCCAGCTGCCACACCCTTTGCCCATCTGGAAGAGGCAGAAGACAAGTGATGAGGCAGTCTCCTGGCTGGGAGCTGCCTCTGACACCCGTGTTGGGGGCTGTTGTCTGGCTCCAGTTGGAGCATGCTGTCGAAGGCAACCCAGCTAAGGTGTGAGTTCAAGTCACAGCTCCACAATTCGTTAGCTGCATGACCCTGGGGAAACCCTTTACCTCCTGGGCTTTCCCACTTTCCTCATCCCTCAGGTGATGCCAAACACATCCCTGTCAGCTGCACTCCTACAAGCCTGATCGGCATCACAACCTCTTCAACACACGCATTCTCATCCACACTGTGGATAACTTCTGCTCTGGCAATGAGGAAGAGTTTGAGTGACGCAGATTTCCCAGATACCGAGTGGAAACTGTCTTTGCCCCTGATTCTACCCATTTTTTCCATTTAAATTTAAACCAACAACAACTTTTTTTTTTTTTTTTCAGCATCTACTGTGCTTCAAAGCTATTTGCTCTGATTGGAACTGAAGTGACAGAGCAGGGAGAGGCCAGGATCACCGTGGCACGCCCGCACCAACAGGTCAGCCCCAGCCCACCGGGAGACAAGGCCACTCACCACTGGATGAAGTGGAGTTCCTGGGAACATGAACTGCATCTGCTGGGCGAGCATTGCTGCTGCTGTTTTCTGCTGGATCAAATTGTTCCTCCCATTAATTTCTAGTTGAGTTTTTAAGTGTGTCGGAGGGTGAAGATATTTGCAGTTCTCTCTTGAACAGCGGCCCTGTAAAATGCACACGTTCGGTTAGGACTGGTGTAAGCAGCCTGCAGAGCCTACATTGACCATCTCACCATCACAGCTGTGTGTGTGTGTGTGTGTGTGTGTGTGTAGGGATTATGTGATTATCATGGCTGCTTGAACCGTTGAGCAGAGAAGATTCATCTCTTCTCCCCCTCCCTCCATCCCATCCTTCCTCCCATCCTTCTTCCTTCCTTCCTTCCTTCCACCTTTCTGTCTCTTTCTTCTAAATCCTAACAAGAGACTCCAAATAAATGTGACTGCTGAGAGTAGAGAAAGAAAGACCTTCCAGGCAGGATGGACGGCGCAGAAGGGCCTATTTACCACGACCTGTCAAAGGAGTCTTTGATCTTGCTGTACACTGGTTTGTACATGATAGAGTGAAGTCAAAATATGAAAAATTATGTGATGGATTCGTGCACTGAGGATAGGAGTGAAATTTCAAGTGTGTGTTCCAGATGAAATGAAGATATTCCTGATTTCAATCTGCTGTCACAGAGGCAGTGGCAGCACGGGAACCACATTTCTTAGTAATGGACACTTACGTGAAGAGCACAGGCATTAGCTCAGAGGGCCACCTGCAATCTATTACTCCTCCACCTCAGATCCCCACCCCACCCCATGGCAGGAATATCAAACTTAATGTCATTACACTACCTAGCAAGGTGTGCTTATGGCTACAGTAACATTTGGACACTGAATCTGGCAAAACAGAAAAAATAATTAGGTGACAGGTATGCAAACAACCACTCCTGAAGAGTAATTACATATGGAGGTGTTTATACTTCATTTCCAAGTTTTCAGATCTACCCATTGTGAGAATCACGTTGATGTGTGAATCATGCAATTTCTAGAGAAACAACAGCACACTGTGTTAGCCACTCTGATTATTATCATTCCCTAAAGAATTATCCTTTTTGCAACCAGGAAGAGAGACTATAGGTTTGCTTACCAGATACAAAAATAATTTTAAAAAGCAAGCTTTGTGGGTCTGGGGGGAATGGGCTTGTTTACCGTCCTCCTAATTCTGAACATCTGGAGTCTCCCTCTGCCTCCCACTATTTTCAACTGCTCTTGTGGCAGTTCAGGCTTCTTTGCAGGGCGGATCTCCCCTCACTGACACACAGAAGGGCGCATGTGGGTCCCCTGCTTAGTCCTGGTGGTCTGTGCCATCAACCTGTGCTGCCCCAGGGTCTACTCTCAGCAGAGGTGTCTCCATCTTAGGGAGGGTGACGAGGCCAATGATGAAGACCTCAGAAGAAACAGGATGTTCAGTGAGAGTCTGTAGCAACGGGCCATGTCAGCATGTCTCCTTAGTCTCAAGTCCGAACCGCAGATGTTTTATTCAGTTTCCAATGTACAAATGGACATCCTAGAGCAAGTTCTGGAAGGTCTACTCTAAAGATACAGATAAACCAGAACTGCTACAGCAAACCAAGTTAAACAATCTGGGAATCCTCTTTCTCTCTCGGCTTCTCTCTGCAAATCTGCTCCGTCATCGTTGCTGTTTCGATTCTAACTTTACGTGTTGCCTTGTGACTTGCCAGAGTCCCTCCTGCCCCACCAACTTGCTGCCGGCAGCTCTTACTTTATTTCTCTTTTGCCCCTCCCTTGATAATTGCCTCAGTCTCTCCGTTTGTTAAGATCAGATCTCTCAGAGAGCATTCAGGTTGGGCCCCGGAAGGTGTGTGACCAGTCTCTGAGTTGGCTGCTTTTGTGTCACACACCCAAAGCTGATGTCATCTGTGCTAGAAGGTGTTTCATGGGACACGAATCATAGCTACCACTCATCGGCTGGGGTGCAGGAGATTGAGCAGAATGGCATTTCTTATACAGAGGCTAAGCACCTTCTCTCTGTAGCAAAAAGCACTGCAGTGGGCCTCTGTCACCCAGGAAGGTTCACGCGTACACCGGCCCTCAGTCTACATACATAAACGTTCAGAGGCTCTGACAGAGGGCTGTGGGAAAGCAGAATCCACAGAATGGGCATGGAACTAGTGAGTTTCCACATTTCCACCAGCATAGCTGTGTTCACTCATATAACTGTTAATTTGATCACTACTCTTTTAATGTAATGCCTTGTAGCAGCTCAAATTTCAATTTTGTGGGAATTTTTGGTTTTCTTTTTTTAAATATTTATTTTTTTGCTGTAGTTGGACACAACACCTTTATTTCATTTATTTGTTTTTTTATGTGGTGCTGAGGATTGAACCCAGGGTCTCGCGCATGTGAGGCGAGCATTCTACTGCTGAGACACAACCCCAGGCCCAATTTGGCTTTCTTTCTTTCTTTCTTTTTTTTTTTTTAAAGAGATAGAGAGAGAGAGAGAGAGAGAATTTTTAATATTTACTTTTTAGTTTTCGGTGGACACAACATCTCTATTTTATTTGTATGTGGTGCTGAGGATCGAACCCAGCGCCCTGCGCATGCCAGGCAAGCGCACTACCGCTTGAGCCACATCCCCAGCCCCCCAATTTGGTTTTCTTAATCAATGATTTTATCCCTTCATATTCCTGGGATTCCTGGAGAAATATATAAATTATTTTCAGCTTAATAGAACATGGTACACAACATCAGATTCATAATTTATTGATGGGAACTTATTTTTCATGAGAATTAATGCAATTTCCTAAGTTGTCACACACTGGGAGTAAGGAGAACTATTGATAACGTTTGTGCCAGGCAATTTATGTATGGTTATCATTTTCTCCTTACAACAGCAACAATGATCCCTATTTTACAAAGCTGCTGGGATGGGATCAGTACAAGAAGCAAGTTTCCTAAGGTCATAAAACTGGTAAGTGGAAGAGCTAGACTTTAAACCCAGGTCTATCTGACTCAGTTCCATCACTATGTGATGCTATTTATTAGCAACAGTTAAAATCCTGGGAAGATAAAAACTAGCACTATCCTTCACAAAACAATAGGATGCATAACAAAAATTTAAATATATTTAAGTACATGTATGAGGATTTGGGAATAGAAAAGAATTATCTGCCTGGCCTATACATTGATAAGGGGACAGGGTTCATACCTGGCTCTGTCCTTTCCTAGCTGTGTGACTTTGAGTGATTACTTGAATTTTTTCTTTCTCTGTACAATGAAAATACTTATTGTGTCTTCCTCTTAGCTCTGTTGTGCAATTCATTGAGTTAACACATGCATAAGGTTTAGGGAAATGCCTGGCACATAGTAAGCAATGAATAAATGCTATTAGCATCAGAAATATTTGTACATGATATTTTGTTTACAGGAAGTTGAGGGTCACAGATTTTATAGTACTTTGATTGGTCTCTGGTTCTTTCATACAATAAGCTGTCACATCAAAACATGATAAAGGCTACTTAATTGTACTTACTCAATTATTTATGATTTGAGTTATTTTCAATTTCAACAGGATATTTTTGCAAGTATTCATATTTAAAGAAATAGCCCTGAACCCTAGTTCAATCTGATATTAGTATTTTGAAGAATATTCGTACATGGATGTCTGAGACATACTAAATCAAGCCCTGGAAATCTCTAGGAAACAGGATTTTATTATGAGGCCCTATAGGATTTTTTAAATCCTAAAGGAAAAGCTACTGTCAAAATCTAATGAGCTATCTGACACAGAAAACAATTTTATCAGGACATTTTCATGAAGGCATAAGATTTCTCAGGACTTATATCACTGCGTCAAAACCGTTGACTCTCAAAGCAAGTCGCCGTAACAAGAGTGAGAGACCGCTGTGTGCAGAGGTAAAGCATCTTCGTACATTATCATGAAACAAAACAGAGGGTCAAAAATACTCCCTCGCGTCGAGTCCAGGGGATGAGGACGGAAATGTCTTGGGACAATCTTCCTTGTGGTTGGTAGGATTTGTTTCTTGTTTCATTTTGACCTTTTCCTCCCTTTTATTTCAATGACCAAGTACTGTCTGCCAAGAGATAAAGGAATGGGGGTCCAGCTCTGGGACAGGGGTCTTCTGCTGGTTGAAGGTGGGAGAGAGCCATGCTGTGGAAAGCCTTAGAGAAACAGGAAGAGGGATGGGGTGGGGTGGAGCGCAGGCCAAGGAGACGGGCTCACTCCAAGGCCTACTCTGGAGACTGCGGCTCACTGGTCACACAACCCTTAGGGGCTCAGCTCACCGGGTGGTACGTGCCAGCTGTAGAAAGGGCAGGTGGTGGTATACATCTAAGTCTCATTCCTCCATTTGTTCAACAGACATTTCTTGAGATCCTACTGTGTGGCAGGCATGGCGCTCAGTGTTACTTAAACAAAGTTGGGTAAGGGAGACACAAGACACAGTGTCTCCCTTCCTGAAGCCTGCAGGCTGGTGGTGAGGACAGAGGTTAATGAAATAATGCCACGGATCACTGTCTAATTACAAATTGCTGTACATGTTCCAGAGGGGGATGCTGAGACAAAAATGAGAGGTCAGAATTGAGACTCTTGGGTCAGGGAAGGTCCCTGGAGAAGTGACATTTAAGCTGAGACCTAAAGGATGCCTGGGAATCTGGCAAAGAAGTGGGTGGTGGTCAAAGGGTGTGTGTTTATGGTCTGTGTGTTGTGTGTGTATGGCGTGCGGTCATGTGTTGTGTGCACTGTACATGCATGGATGGGTGTGTACTGTGTGTGTTAGGGAGAAATAAAACGTGAGAACACTGAGAGGAGAATATGCCAGGGCTGTGTCCCATTTGGGAGCCTGCAAATGGCTGGAGTCCAGAGGGGTGTGGGTGGAGCTGGAGAGAGAAAGCAGAGGAGGCAGAAGCCAGAGAACTTGGAGGGCCCAGGTGAGCAGTATGGGCTTCACTGCCTTGAAGGTTTTCAGCAGGAGATGAACGCCATCAGATTTCTGCATTACAGTACATTTAAATCTTGCCTGATTATTAGATTTTATATTTCTGACTTTCTTATAGTTCATATAGTTTGAAGATCACTTGATTAAAAATAATAACAGAATTCTGACAGAGTCCACATTAGGTCTGTACAGCGTATTCTA